CCGTAGATAACACTGCATGCATTGATCTGAAAAATCTAAGTTCTATCCATTAAAGTTATCTTTTACCTCATCTGATACTTATTTTCTGGAATCAGTTGTACCCTGTTGGAATATTGAGGTTATAATAGACAAAATTCGTCTAATAATTCGTTTGACATCTCCTGTTATAGATGACGGTGAGTTTTCATGTGAGAATCTTTCGTCCTTTTTGAGTGAGTTATATTTGCACTACCCGTATGAAGAAGTCGATGAATGTTCGTACTGTTGCCTGGTTACATAAGTTACATATCAGATGTTTGAAGCTTAGGTGGAATCGTAAGCAGAATCAGCCTCTAAGAAGTTTTTTCTCTTTTGTTCTCGTTCAATTCTTGTAAAATGCTATCGTTCCATAGTTTTTTTCCTGTGTCCTACCGTCAGATGTGTCTTTATAACATAAGTTATGATGGACCTCAGAGGTACATTTGAGGCAACTGTTCTGAGCTCCCGTTTTTGAGTAGAATTTCATATGTCACACAGGATCTTCCTTCTATTTTTCGAATTGAGTTGTATTGTGCAAAATATTTGAACGTCTATTTCGATTTCAAGCGTTACTCTTGAGCATTTTAACATTCAGTTAGTTTTCTTTCATTTCGTGAGGTGCAGTATCCTGTGTTTTATGAGCTTGAGACAGTTGAATTCATGCATGGTCGCACGCATAGATCTCTTCCACCTTAAAACGTCTTAGAAAGTACTCTTGTTTACGTCTTAACAATGTAGAAAAACATCTAATTGCGACGGATATTCACGGATCCCAACTATGAGCTGAAGTCAATAAGGAATGGTAAATGTGAGCCGGTTCTGAAGAGAAGAGGGTTTAAACATTAAAGAGTCTCAGCTTAGTTTAAAAGCTATAATGTTAACGTCCAATTTTTCTGATCATGATCTATTCTCCATCGCAGTCCAGACTATGAGTGTAAAATCGGAATTAAAGCTAAGTCCTAACTGTTTTAGGAAATGAACCATTTAAATGTTAGAGATTTACAGCGTAGTGGAATAAGAATCACCTTGACGTTCAGTTTGTCGGTTTGTGATACGTTGCGAATCGCAGTTCCTGATTGTGAGTCAGAAACGATAGAAAATTGTTAATGTGAAATGGTTTCAAGAAGCATGCCATTTAAACGCTAAGTTTTTCCGATATAGTAAACAAGTTGATCGTTTTAGCGTCCAGTTTCTCTGAACGTGATCGGTTGTCAATTGAGGTTCCCGACTGTCAGTCAGAAACGGCTAGAAATCATAAATTTGAAATGGTTTCAAGAAATGAGTCATTTAAACGCTAAGCTTTTTCGACATAGTCGAGAAAACGATCGTTTTAACGTTCATTTTTATTGACCGTGATCGGTTGCCAATCGTGGTTCCCGATTGTGAGTCAGAAATGGTAGAAAATTGTTAATGTGAAATGATTCCAAGAAATATACCATTTAAACGTTGAGTTTTTCGGACGTAGTGAAGAAAAGGATCGTTTTGACGTTCATTTTTACTGACCGTGGCCGGTTGTCAATCGCGGTTCCCGACTGGCAGTCAGAAACGGTTGGAATTTATTAATGTCAAATTGTTTCAAGGAACTTGCCGTTTAAACGTTAAGTTTTTCTAACATAGTGGAAAAAGGATCGTTTTGACGTTCATTTTTACTGACCATGACCGGTTGTCAATCGTGGTTCCCGACTGGCAGTCAGAAACGGTCGGAAATCATTAATGTCAAATTGTTTCAAGAAACTTGTCGTTTAAACTTTAAGTTTTTACGACGTAGTGAAAAAAAGGATCGTTTTAACGTCCATTTTTACTGATCGTGATCGGTTGTCAGTCGAGGTTCCCGATTGTGAGTCACACACGGTACGGAATACTAAACGTGAAAATGTTATTGTATTAATGAAATGAAAATATTCAAATTTCATTAAGCATGAAAAAGAGACCGTTTTCACGTTCACTTATACTGGTCGTTAGTGACACACAGTCGGGAACCTCAATTGACATCCGGACACGGTCGAAAATCTCTGCGCGTTTAAACGCGTTTTTTCATTTTTTTGTCTGCCTGGGTGTTACATTTTTTTTTATAAATATATATTCATTATTCTCACCCATAATCATTGGAATAACTGAACGAACATCGTCAACAATTCCACTACCAACCATCGAAACAATAATTGATGTAACAGTAGATGAACTTTGTAGAATAGTTGTTATAATAATTCCAAACATAACACCAATAATAGGATTTTTCAAAAAGATTCGATTGCGAAATACTTTTCCAATTGTTGAACGACTTAATAATATAAATGCTGATGTCATTAAATCAAGTGTTATAGTAAATAGATATAATAAAATAATAAAAGCTAAAATTCTTATTAAAATATTTAATAAATAAAGAAATTTTTCTCGTTTTGACATTATATTCCATGGTATACGACCAGTTTGTTCATAACGATGAGCAACAAATATCATTTGTGTTTCATCAACATTTATTTTTTCTTTGATTTCACTTAAATTTGCATAAAGTTTTTGTGTATATTCATCAGAATTAATCGGTAATGAAAGATATTGTTCATTATCCATATTAATATTTTCCATCTAGAAATGATTGTTAAAAAGTCTTGCGCCAAAAACAAAGCAAAGAAAATAAGCATATTTATTTCAAAGTTTAATAAAAGAAAAAATTACAATTTTAAATATATTTAAAAGAAGAATATTTATCAAGTAATTTAATTGTTATATAAAGTTTTTTATCATAATGATAATGTAATGATAAACTTGATAGATCTATATTTGATGGTAATGTTATTTGTCTATAAAAATCTGTTTGTTCAACTTGAACAATAAGATCATTATCATTAATAGATACTCGAATTTTATCTGGATTATAATTATACATATGAAGTTTCATTTCTATATATCGTTGATTACGATCATCAGTAAATATTTGTGGTTGAAATACACTTTTATAAAAAACATCAGAATTGAAATCTCGAGGAAAAACTGATAATTCATTATTATTATTATTATCACTATTATTAGTATCAGATGATAATGTTGATGTCATACTCTGACGATCAAAATTAATATTTGATTGAGAACGATTTTCAGCAGTGTTGAATAATATTGGACTAGCTAAACGTTGATGTTCAGCTTCATATGATGATTGAATACCTGTTGTGGGACTTGATCGTTGATGATGTGTTTCATGATGTGTTTCTGTAAAAGTTTGTTGATGTATAATATTATTTTTATTTATTTGAGGATTATCAATTGATTGACGAAATTTATATGTTGGACTAATTGGACGTGCAGAGAAAAGTGATGAATCGATAAATAATTGACGGATTGGAATTCGATGAGCATTGTTAGTAATAGGGTGTGGGTGTGGGTGTGTGGGTGTGGGTGTGGGTGTGGGTGTGGATGTGAATGTGGGTGTGGGTGTGGGTGAGGGTGTGGGTGTGGGTGTGAATGAAGAGAAGACCGCACCCACACCCGACCCGTGAATGACGAAGTAGTTTACGAAGACGATATAGAGCAGTGTCAAGTTTAGCAAATTGAAGCGAGCTGTTTCTGGTCTTCCCCAAGGTTCTAATAGTCACATTATTGAGAAATAGGGGAAAAGCTTGACCCATTGGCTTTGCTGTGTGAAACGGTATAGTCAGGGTCTCGTTGATCTTAATCGTAGGCCGTCCCTCAACAAGGATTGGAAGAATTATGTTTTTGAAATGCTGAAGAGTGATATTTCGAAAAAAAACCCGTCGCTTCATTCATAGTCACAGTTTGAACACCTGTATGCTTGAAATTGGACCTTTGCAACCGTGATTTTGATGAGCGAGCGTGTTGGGAGCAAAGAAGTGTGAAAAGAATGGCGAGGTTAACGAGTGAGAACATAGTTTAAAACCATTCCGGTAACTCAATAGCCAACAACCAGGAATTTGTCACCACTTCAAAATTGTTTCAACTATCTGAGTAATACCGTTTATCTTTTGTGGCCAACCAAAGATGCGTCAATACAACATGTGTAACAGCACACAATGACAAAGAAAACGGAGTCTGGTTCTTATCGTTTACGTTATCTATCTTTAACTTAAGGTAATGGACGTACGAAGATAACCATGAGTAGAAATAGCACATACTATGGCTATGAATCTGCAAAATAGATTCAGTACCACTTCGACCGAAATCCAGAACTATATCCTGTCATGTTTGTTTTAGTAAAATTCTTTATGAAGTACTAGACTCTATACTCTCGTATTGCTGATTCTATTTCGGTTAAAGCTTTGTGAATCGTAATTCTATTAACGATTTCGGAAAAAGTCTATCACACATGTATTTTGATTCCAAGTAGATGATTTTTTTCGACATCTTGAAACAAATTATGAATAATTTCTTGCTTATCTGACACGCGATTAATTCAAAAGAAATTCAACAATCGTTTAACCGTCCCATGTTTTTTGTCTAAACAGACAACAAATCTGATAACTTTTCGTTGGTGAGCATTAACACAATTAACTTCCGATGAAACAAAATTAATTTCATATTATCCGTTAATTTGAACTCTGCAATTTCATTATTTTTCTAAGTTTTAATAAAAAGATACTTTGTGTTTCCAGAAACGATGCCCTAATTTTCAGAGTGCGCAATGCTTAGCTAAGAGGTAGCATTTAATTGCAATAGTTATCATAACTAGTAGGACTCGTAGTTCTTCTGTAAGCGATAGAGTTGAAGTTTAGAATAACTCCTATAGGTTTTAGAAATTCATTCTGTACGGCCAAAGATCGTCACATTAAAACTTCTTACGTTAGTGTAAAAGAATTGTAACTGAAGTCAAAACGTGGTTTTATCGTAACTTGTAGCGGTAACTCAACATTTGTTATGAGCGTAGAGTGTACTCCGAAGATGGGAGAGCCAGAGAACTCATGGAAGGAATGATGCTTACAATCACCTATATTTCAAATCTGTCTTTGTGGAACATTGTTTTCTGCCTTCTTAATTTTTATATAAAAATGCCATCGGACGTCCATCATTTTTGTTCATTCGATCTTTATTTCCATATAAGATTAATAATTGCATGGTGCACTCAAGTTGAAAGAAAAGAAAACTAATGATATTTATAGTAAAATTTGTGCTTGTTGAACTCCATAAAATTGCCGTTAATGCAGAAGAAAAAGAAAACCACTGATTTAGTGCATCCTAAACGTCGTAAAGCATCAAATGAAAATAAAAGCAGTCTACATTTTGCAAGCTCCATGGATCCAAGTTTGTTGAAATTTCTTATCAGTAAGGGTGGGTGTGGGTGTGGGTGTAAGTGTGGGTTTGGGTGTGGGCGTGGGTGTGGGTGTGAGTATTGTATACAATTATACAGCATATCCACACCTACACCTACACACCAACATCCACACCTACACCTACACCTACACACCCACACCAACCCACACCCACACCCACATCCAAGAAAAAAAACCATACTTACTAAGTATGGTTTTTTTTCTTCGGCGATAAGACAAAAAAAAAATTTTCATGACATAAATAAAACAAAGATAACCGATACATGTGGTTTTTATTTTTACATTATCTGGAAGGTTTTCGATAATAAAAGGTTCAGATTTCTAAGAAGTTATTGAAATATATAAATTCAATTTAAAAATTTCTTTTATTCAAAAAAAAAATCATTCAGCAATATTATTAAAATAGTGAATCATACAGAAAGAGTGAACTTTTGATCAAATGAAGAAAATCTACACACTATTATCAGTCATTTTTGTATTCCATTGAATAACAAATAAAATTTATCTGAACCATAACGATTTTTTTTGACAAGATTCTTGGCATTCGGAAAGAGATAATAAATTTCCGTATCAGTCAATGTATTTTTTTCATCCATATAATTAATATTTAATTGTTCGATACGAGCTAATACAATTTTGACAAATTTATCTTCATGTTCATGTTTCAAAATATCATGCAGAAGTGATTGATCAGTATCAAGTTCGAGACAAATTAAATTTGGAAATATTTGAATAAAACGACGAAAAGTTTTATAATCATTCAATGGAGACCATAAAGATATACAGAATTTTGTAACAGTTGGTAATTGTAAGCTATTATCTAAAAGAAGATCTTCACTCATGATTGTAACATTTCTATCTTCTTCACTTTCATCTAAAGGATTAATAATCCAACGTGTTAATTCAATTGTTGTAACATTTGGAAAAACTTTTTCAATAAATAGAAATGTTTCTAGATTTAATGGTGTTGTAGCAATGAGTGAGAGTGTACGAACACGTTTAAAACATATTGAAATTGATTGATTTGATACACAATTTGAAATGAAATCATTTGAAAAATAATCAAACTAAAAGTAACAAACAAGAACAATATATATATATTGATTGTACTAATCAATAAATAGATTAATCTCTTACGTGATCAGATTTATATGGTAATGTAAAAAGCATATATTGTTGAGCACGAACATCATTCCAATATACAATTGGATTAAAATTTTGCCAAGCGAAACTTTGAAATGTTTCGATTTCTATTGGATCATTATCAACTAATGGTGAAAAAATAATTAGATCAAGTGATGATAAACGAGGCATTTTCTCAAGTAATCCATGTTCAAGTCGTTTACCATCAAATAAATAGTATCGACAATCAATATTCATTGAAAGATATTCAATTGTTGATCCAAATGTAGCAAAGAAACTTTCCATATGTTCAAAATATTTGATCCAACCTGTAAAAGTAACAGAATGAAGTTTATTGCATAGTTTTACACCATTTGTATTGGGTGCTGTTTGACGAAAACATTCTTGACTGTGAATTTTTACCTACAAATAAAGATTATTCAAAATTGAAATGACAAGAGCATTAATTTAATCCAACCTTCAATTCTTGAAGATTGGGTATATGTTGAATAAGTATAAATAATGGATTCATGCCTTCTAATTCAATTGAAAGATGTGTTAATCGAGTACAAGTTTCAAGATCATCATTAGAAATATATAGAATACAATCTTTTATGATAAGATGTTTCAATTGAGAATCAGATCGAAATAATAGACTAGCTAGATCACTAGATTCATCGTCATTAGGCTGTACAAATGACAACTTTTTTAAATTTCGACGAAGATGAACAATGATTTGTTCTGGTAAATCAGTAAAAATATTCCAATTAATTACTTGCATAGATTGAATATTAGTTGATAATAAATGTTCTGGTATCATGAGTAAATGATTCATTTGTAGACGAAGAGCAATAATTTTATATTTAGTCAACACATTTGATAAATTATTTTCAATCCATTCATCAGATTCTTGAGAAACATCTAATCGTGAAATAAATGGTTGAATGAGAGTTTGAAGTCGATATGATTTAAAATCGGAAAATATTTTTAAAAGATCAATTGCGCTCAAATATTGAAAAATACATAGAAAAAGTTCATTTGGTAAGTCAAACAGTAATGTCTTTGATGCCATCGACAAAGTAAGAATATTTTTATTTCACAGAATAATGAAATATTGATGATTACTTTTATTTTGATTCTATCACGACATATGTTGAAAAACAATCAGACCACAAAAAAACAACTTGCAAAATATTACAATACAGTAACCATTAGAAACACAACAACAACAACAACAACAGAAACAAAGCAATAAGGATAAAACAGCAACTCTTTTAACGTTAAACTATTGTCAGACATTCTTCAGTGGAAAAAGTTGTCTATTAAGCGCCCTCTCCTCTGTCAAAAATCTCGATTTTTGTCAAAACAATCAATTTTGATATTTTTATGTGATTGGATGTCGCTCGTTGTCTACTTTCGAAAAGAGTATGATTTATCGAAATTCTGATACTTTTCCACGGTTTTACACAGAATTGACTGATGATGCTGGAATTTCATGAAATGTTAGTTATTGTTATCTTTTGAACTGTTTCTAAGATTTAACATAGTGGAGAATCTAGCAGATATATGTGAAATAATTAGGAAGTACTGCAAGCCTTCGAACAAGTGAAGTCATATCCTGTATTTCTTTTTCCACCAGTGTTTATTTAATTATGTAATTGTTTTGACAGTATTAGGTCAGACGAGACACTCTATGACATAAGTATGTGTTCTCTTCTCTTTCTTCGATTTCATTATTGCACATTTATAATTATTCTTTTCTTCGTCTCATGTTTTGTTTATTTAAACAACTGATATTGTTGGTATGTATGAGCAGGGCTGCTTGTGAATGGATGACATAAATAATCACGCTCACACTTCATATGTTTTTTCAAGGCTAGATTCAGATTTTTTGATGCTCTACAAGTACGTGCAAGCCTTTGTTTGATCCGCCATAATTGATAACATATGGTAGACTACGATCGATGTGTTTCCTCTACCGTTTTACTAAACAGGAATATTGATTTTCAATTGCAAAGTTTGTTTAGCATTTTTCTCAAAACGAGTTTTCTTTTTCTACTTGTGCGTCCCATATTTCTCAGCCATTTTACATGCTAGGAAGTTCAGAAAGGTTTTAAATTGAAAAGAAAATTGCGCTCCACAACTTAACAGAACTGGATTTTTGTATTTGTGATTTAATTCTTGAGAAAAATGGATCTTTTTCGACAGGAATATTCCTATATTTTCGAGCTGTTCGAAATAAACTGACGCCAAAAATTGATAAAGAAGAATATGAAAAATCAGGCTCTGTTATGTTGTAGCGGCAAGTGTTGGCTATATTTTGATACCAACTCGAGATTTAGGAAAGAAATCTAGGACGCATGGAAACCTACTTTTTGACTCCTAACATAGGGATAACCCTTGAGCAACTCAATATTTTGGGATGAAATTTTTATTTTAAGCTTCCTATGTCCGAGCCTACATTCTCTGAAATTTTCAGTTAAATCGGTTGTTCATGAACGAAAATAGATTTTTGACCGGTGGCTTAAAAATATTCATAAAAGACAATACCAAACAAGTTTAGTTTCCGGATGAAAATGATAAATTTTGCTTCTGCATTAAGGGCACCCCCCTCTTTTTTGACCCAAAACCGGATTTTGAGCTGAGTAGGGGGGGTAATAGACCTCGATGTGGTCTACAATTTGAGACATCATTCGATCTCAAAAAGGCTTTTCGTTGTGGAGATATTGCATT